ACACGTTACGCGTGTGTCCTTTGTTTGAACCTTATTTTTTGGATTTTCTTCTCTTCTAAGAGAATTTTCGTTATTGTTAACGTCTTTGTATTCTCATTTAACGCCACTTCTGTATACATTATACGCTAGATTTTGGCCGTATTGACCTTCGTTCGAGGGCAGGAGCCAGGAGCCATTCAAGTAAAGAAGAAGAAGAAGCGACACGTAACTGGGAAACCGCATACGAGAGAAAGACCACGTACTCACTAACCTCAACGACGACAACGATGCCTAGGAAGAATACGGCGGCCGCCGCGTCCTCCGCGACAACCGTCCCGTCCTCCGCAACAACCGTTCCGTCCTCCGCAACAACCATCCCGTCCTCCGCGACAACCGCCACCTCGTCGTCGTGGAGTAGCATCCAATCGCCGCCGAGCACGTTGACGCCGATCGTCAGCCGACAGCCCGGCAGCCCGCTCAGCCCCAGCGATCGGGCATCTTACATCGACACGATACGTTATCTCCAGTCTGAGAACTCCCGGCTGAAGCGGGAGGTGCAAATCACCCAGAAAACAGTCACTCGGGCCGTCACTCGGGAGATGTCCAACATCGAGGCCGGGTACAGCGTCGTAATCTATAACAAGCGAAAGCGGCTCGATGAGACGGATACGGAACGCGTTCTGCTCGAGCTCAATATCAAACGCTTGCGGAATGATAACAAACATCTCAAGAGCAAGTAAGTGATACTACATGGTATTTTAATTTATTTTTATTTAGTAAATATATATAATGTGTTCTGAAAGTTGAGAAGATATGTTATGCATTTTTATTTAATGTATGTTCTCTAGATTGGAGAAGAAGATAAAGAATTGGCAGATAGCAGAACGAAATGCAGTCATACATGAAAAATGCTCCAGTGATTTGAATTTGAATCGGATAAAGGAGCGAGTCGATTTTGCAGAAGCTATCATATCACGTGTCTTGTGCGTATCGTGGAAAAGCCCAGGGAAGCGAAGCATATTTCTGCCGCAAATGGCAGTATACATGCAAACACAGAGAGGGCTGGACTTTACCGATATTATCCATCAGGCATGAGGTTATGTTACATGCATGTTTTCGAAAGAGAAGAATCCTTTGATAGACGTGTCATCTGGCCGTGAAGACAGTTCGAATAGTCAAGCGAGTCCTTTGTTAAGTTTTGTGGGGACTTCTTCATCTTGTCAATTACCGATGATACCAATACCAGGCAACAACTCATCAGAACCGAAAAGTTTGACTTATTTATTAGATTGTTATTCAAGAATTGCAATTGAAGAAAGAAATCATGGAAAGGTACGCACATACACACACACATATCTTCAAAATTAGACAAGATTTTATTAAACTAATTCTTTTTTATATATTTTATAGCAATCCAGTGTACTTCTCTCCAATACTCTTTCCGATGTAGTGACAATTTTGAAAGCGCAATGTGTTCAGTATTCCAGCCTCGTTCTACAAGGGTTAATCGGCATTTGCCAAGCTGCTGACATACCTCTTTGCACCATTCATTTTTACAATCGGATATTATCGCAAAACTTACCTCGGGGCTATGATAACATTTTCACTCCAGTCTTGAAATATCTGTATGACGCGATATCGAACGCGATCTTAGACGGCAGTACGCAAATAAAACCGATCGAGGCGCTAGGCGAACTGATACAGATTCGCAGTGGCCCAAACAGCAATATACATCCGATTTGCCGTT